ATTGTTTGTCATATTGCGTTTGCTGCTAGTTGCTGGTCAAAGCTGCATGGATAAGCTTCAGCAAGCGGCACGTGATTGAGTTCAAGCGCATACAGTATTGAATGCCTCTGGTTTGCTCGCCTTTGGGCTTGCATCAGGAATCAGCTCTGACTCTGGCAATTCTGGAAGAAGCCCGGTGAAGGAGGTTTTCACCTGGGACCGAGTATCACTTGTGACGCCACCTGGGCTTATTCAGCTACCCAATTATTCACATGCTTCGTTGACAGGAAACAGGGTTGATACTTGTAGGAATTCACTCCCTGCAGCTTCGGACAAACCATGTGCTGGACGAAAAATTGCTGGGCCAATAGCATGGGGACAAAACTGATACATATGAGGGGGCAAGGATGTGCCTCGACAACCAGAAAGGTGAGGACAAACATGAGCAAAGGGTGGATCTATGATGGCTCAACTAACACAAGGACGATGCACAGGCTGATATTGACTCTGAGCGTGTTTCTACTGAACCACCTCATAGTGTTCCTACTAAACTCCGAACCTGCTCCCGAAGCAAATAGGCTCCCGGGCTCCGTTGAGATCGGCAATGTGCCTAATGCTTTGCAAGGCCTGACGTTTGATGAGTTTGAAGAGCATCTACTGTTGGTGCAAAGTAAACATACTATGCCGACACTGATGCCGACTCAACTTTGGGATGCTTGCGGTTTAGGTTTCATCCAGTATATGTAGTTTAGGTTTCATCCAGTATATGCACAATATCTTCGTTTCCTCCATTTGTTCAGCCGTGACGTGGCAGGGATCAGCACCTCGAAATGTCGCCCATTCTCCAACAGCCAGCGTGGTGACCTTAAGGGCTCCGGACCCAAAGGAATGCTCACTCGACCCCCTTTCAGCAAATCAGTTGCATCCGAGATCAATAGGTTTCGAATCTGCAGCGTCATGAGGCCACAGCTGGACGTGAATGTTATGTCTATCTCCACCCAAATTGCCTTGTAATTCTCCTAATGGCAAGCTGGGCATCCGCGTTATACACACAAACCGGAGATTAAACTTTGGTTGTATGTCAGCATGCGGAAGTGTAAAGGCAATGTCTCGAAGGTGGTCTATCGTTCCAATTATGGCCGCACCAGCTGCCTTTGAATGGCCTCCTGAAGCCTCCTGCATCTAGAATCTAGAATCACCCACCACCACTGGTAAAAATGCTGCCGGAGGCAGGCTCTCAAACACTCTTCAGCAACCAAGCTGCTCTGGAAGATAAGCTAAAGCCAGTCCCAGTGCAAAGAAGGTAGGCAGCACTGCACAAGACGTCAGCATCCCTCGGAACATGGAGCTTGCAGTTTCTCACGTGTCTCCACATCTGGACTAGCACAACCCAGTTAGAGAATAATTGTCACTTCAACTCATGATGCTCCTAGCAAACGATGCAAGTCAAGAGACACGCTTTCATGTTTTCTATGCTCAGCACTTCGGCCACTTCTCGACAAATGTTCATTGAAGAAAGCAATGGTGCCCCTAAGCTTGAGAGCTCAACCCGCTACGATTAGAACAAGGAGACCGGTCTGTGCCCGCCCCCTATCAACAAATGGCCACGACGGCCTCACCAGTCAAAACCATGGATTTTCAAGAACAGGGCTACTGTAATCATTTAGATTCGTTGTGGTTATTGCAGGCAGGTGGCGCCAGCCAGAGTTCTCCAAGAAGAGAAAGGCGCAAAACATGGTGAACATGCTCCCTGAGGCAGACTGGCGCCGTGGCACTTTGGGTATGAATCTGTTGATCGCTGACAAAATGGCACCATCATGGAACACTGCCGGAGCTGCTGGCTGGATTCTTGCATCAATTATATACAGTACATCCCAAATCGCAAGGTCTGCAGCCCGAAAGGCCAAAAGGGTGGAAGAAGTTCAAAGCAATGCTCAAAGCCCTCTCCTCGCGTAACAGCTATAGTTGCTAGCTGCTTCTCAACTGAAGAGTTTCCCTCTGCCGAAACATCATCGTTCACCCCTAAGGTTCAACCGGCACTCCTTGGGCAGAAGCTCGCACGCTATGTCCACGCAAATGAACATACCCGAGATACCAAAGCCAACTCCAGCACGCGCCTGAAACAGAAAGCTGCAATTGTTCACTACTGTTGGGACATGAGTTTCAGAGCAAACCAGCCATGGACACTCCCGCGCAAGGGCTGGGTTTCAAACGATCACCAGTTGCCAAAAGGTTTGTGCGCAAGCCGTGATGATCCCAAATCCTTAGCTGCAAACTTGCCGAGGGACGTTTCTTTTGTGGACGCATCATGCAGCTTGATAGCAACAGCCTCGAACAATCTTCAACCTTCAAGGCAATCATGAGTTACCGCATGTTACCGCCACTGAGCAACGAAAATTGAAACTTTATGTTCACTAATCCCAAGCACCTATTAAACTTACACTACCCAGTACAAAAGACGCATGTCGGACAGTCTCTTTTTCAATTGCCGCCTAGACTACACCCAAGGTCATTTTGGATGTTGTTGGATTTTTTGATATTTTTTGATGAGGTACCCGCCCACTAGTCACCACCCATCTTGACCCTCACCAGCGACACGCCGCATTTACATACGCATGTCAACCCTTCCCAATACCTTCCACCAAAGCCTCGCCAAACAGCATGACACAGCGACATCACCTTTCAAAACCATTCAATTCTTTAGTGGCTAATCTGATGGAATGTAAAAATCCAAGAATATCAAAGAACCACTACTTTAACAGAGGGCTTTGTAAAGGGAAAAGGAAGACCCTTCTATCTGGAGGTTTTGTCAATTTGTGATCAACTACTTTTTTGATTTGTGTCTAGGTGACTTTTCAGTGTTGAAGCTCTTCCCAGGTGTCCATCTTTGCAGGTCCTCCTATTTAGAGGACCCACCCACTAGTACTGTAACAAAAGTGAGACCGGAAGTGTTTTATTGGGGGGGTCTTTCAATAGGTGGAAGGGATTCATTTACACTGTGAGGTCTGGCGTGTGGCAACAAAGCAAGAAATTGAGCATGCTGTGCTCAGCCAGCTGCCAAGCACGAAGCCACTGCAAAGCCTCAGCCAAGTTTGGACAGTCGTTTCTGGCGACTCTTGTTGGATTGTTCCAGCTGTAGGGCCGTTGTCAGTAGGTCATTTGTGGTTTGGTTGGGGTAGCAAATGTCTTTTCATCACAATCCTTCCTAAACCTGGCGTTGTGCGCTTTGAGACTTTAATCTTTTATTATTCTTATTTGAATACTTTGTTGTGTGCATTGTGGAAAGTGTGCTTGCTGCTATAATGCTGGCCAATGGCAAAATGGCAGGGCGTCGGCCACGAGTGTCTGCGAATCGCCCCCAGAACATGGGGCCCAACAACTGCCCGGCGAAAGACGCCTGACATCTGGCAAAGCAAACGCTTCCCGCTTGACATGAGATCTAACACCTGCACTGTGCTGAACGTTCGGTGTGTTTGATAGTACTGCCGACTGTCCAGGCAAATGAAGTGCTTGAAAACGCAACAAGCGCTTCAATGCTTAAGGCTGGGCACCTGCTCAAGCAACACCACTGATGCATCCGACAGTCGGAGAGCCTTTTGCACATCCTTGATCACATACCTTAGTTTTCAATTGTTTTCAACACCTTTCAACTCACCTTCACGCACTTCCCAGTTCGATCTGAATTATGTGTGGGAAGCATCACACTGTGCAAGTGCTGCAGGCATTGAAGTCAGAGCTGAACACCATTAGGAGCTTACAATGGCTTATATATATATATATAACATACACACGGTGCATAAACCTTTCACAATCAGGAGTTGTTTGCGTTTGGTGTGCCCTTGGGGCAGACCGTCAGTTTTCTAAGCTGCATGATCAAGCTAATCTCGGCGGCATCGGCACACCAAATCCTCGGAGGAAAATCTACTAGCGTGGCACTTGTTTCTAATAGCGTGGCACTTGTTACTAATAGCCACACCAGTCTACTTTTCACCCAACGTCCAGTTCTGGGATCTCGCCTCATGAGATCAGGACTTCTACGCCTCTTGAAAGTCGATTCAGGCTGAAACGCAAGTCAAAGAGTCTTCAGAACATTCAGAACTTAACCTGCTCTAGATTCAAGATTCTGGTATTTCTTCGAGCGCTGACCAACTCTGAATACATAGTCTGCCTTTGTGTAGGCTCAGCTTGCCAAACGAGCAACATTCCAGTGATGAGCAGGATCAGAAAAGTCCCATAGCCAAGGCCCGCCTCGCCACCGAATTCATCTGCAAACATTGGCAAACATCAACCCGAAAGCGAGTTGGCCAAAAGCTTCAACACGTCTAAATTTGGCCGCGGTCCTCGTGATGGAACTCCTACCTCGAGACCCTACTGCTTAACACATGCGCCCTAAGGTCCAGGAATGTTATATTTGGTTTGTTTTTTGTGTAGTCGACCCGCAAGCGCAAAATTTCAGCCTCCTTGAAGGCTTGGTCGATCGCAACATCTCGTGCCATGTCGACCACGGCGCTCAGCGATGCCAACACGGCGCTGTAGCAAAAAAATAGATAGTTACTAATTAAACTAGTAGCAAGAAGCTACTATATAGTAGCAAGGTGTCTTTCTAGTAGTAACAAGCTACTAGTAGCGATGCACCGTGTTAGTAATTAATAGATAAGCCCTTAATTAAAGTAAGCGCTTTGTTTGAGCCAAACGGCTCAATGGCACTGTCCTCAACTGCCTGGGGAGACGTGCTGTCACTCTTGGTTACCAGTGACGAGAACAAATGCCGGCCCACAGAGAGCAAATGCATACCAGCTCAGCTTCATGGAACGCTGCAGTTGTGCCCAAAGAGCGAATCTTGTTTATTGCCTCTTCTTAGGCAGGAAGAAGCGAGTCTCTCTTAGCTCCCCTAGTGGCTCTCCTCCATCTCAAGACTTCACAGTGCAAAGATTTCAACAACAACATCCAGGAATCTTGAGCTCGAATCTATTTGGTGAACGAACCCCCACCAATGGGATGCCTCCGGCTGGGGAGCCTGCTGTTCGTCTCATGGTGCTCCAACTCTCGAACTCGGGCCTGCGGGAAGAGCTGTGAATGTGCAGCATGAGCATGTCACAGGATGTGCAGTATGAGAATGCAGGGAAACTGGTTGGGAAATTCAATGAACCTCACGTGGGTGCTTCGCTCAGGGTTCAATTGTTTCGGCACACGCTCGCAATAAACATACCCCTAGGGCTGAGCACTTTTTATATAAATAAGTTGATTGATGTGCAATCACACACACTTTCACACCTGCAGCAGTCGACAATCTTCAAGTACTTTCTGGGAGGTCTCCTCCAGCACCTTCCAGGGCTGGAGGACGATCCGACGATGAGGACGACACACAGGGATGGTCTCCCACGAGGCCAGTGCCATGTCCTTCCACGTGTGTTTGATGATCAATTGGGCGGCTATCTCACCGCTGTATCCCAGGTGAATGAGGCATGCGGCATAGCATCATCCTGTGCCACACAAGCCCGTGTATGAACTTGACCCCTGAAATCTCTGTAGTGGGTACTGTCTTTGGTTGATCCTTCGTTATCCTTCGTTTCTCTCGCCCCTTGCTCACCTAAATCACCCGAATGCGCCTGCAACTCTCTCTCGGCAGCATGGGTGAGCTCTCCTAAGCAAGCAGGTCCCGGAAGCAATTCCTCATTACGTATAAGTAATTACTAGTTACTACTTATTTGCACATGCTTGGACGCTGTTCATCACATCAGGCACTTGCATGTAGCAGTCAGTCTGGCAGCCAACAGCCCTCTTAAGAGGGCTGTGGAATCGTACCGCAACAGGCTGGTTGGCCGCCTCGCCTTTAATTATATAATCGAACAAATCGCTGTCGCTAAGTGTGACACGCTGCTCTTTCAGGCGTGCCTGCTGCATCACTGACGACTTTCACGAATGAATCGCTGACACTGTCTTTCTACCAGCAACACGGTGAAGCACTGCAACAAGGATTGTCAAATTGCGCCCCTTGAATTCCCTTGGTACTTCCCTTGGGTTCCCTTGGATTCGGTTTATTTCTCCATATTTGGCGCCACTCCTTTTTCATCATGATGTTTTGCACCTACGCACCTTTTTGAGGCATCGTTGAGCGGGACTCTTTTCTGGCCACATCTGCTACATGCCACAGAAGCCCGTGTTGAATGATGAACGGATATGAATGGTGCTGGACATCCTTCTCTTTCAAAATGGGCCAATAGAGGGGTCCTTGCACCTTGAGTTGCTACAGCAAACACGAGGCTGGCAATCGCATTTGCACCTCTGCCACTGACTCCCGGTGCAGCACCGCCTCTCTAGTTTCGGAAGGGGAAAGTGGAGGGCACAGTGGCCTGCTGAAATCTACAAACTTCGTTCAACCAGGTCTGCAGCCTACGTTAAAGCATCAAACAATACCACGGGCAGAAGCCGCAGCAGTCTTAATCTTAACATCTCCTGATTATATATTCCATGAAAATTTTTCGTGGATGCTGATGCTCGATGCAACATCGGCTCATACATGCTCCTGGCATTACTACTGGTAACAAGAAGCTACTAGGTGGAGGCCATCGCTACTAGGCTGGAGGCCAATACTACTGGTAGCAAGAAGCTACTAGGTCAAGGCCATCGCTATTAGGTTGGAGGCCATTACGACTAGTAGCAAGAAGCTAATAGGTGGAGGCCATCGCTATTAATGGTTTGAGGCAAGTACTACTAGTAGCACGAAGCTACTACGAGTAGGTGGAGGCAATCGCTATTAGGTTGGAGGCCATTACTACTAGTAGCACGAAGCTACTAGGTGCAGGCCATCGCTATTAGGGTGGAGGCCACTACTACCAGTAGCAAGAAGCTACTGGGTGGATGCCATCGCTACCATTTGGTTTGAGGCAATTACTACTAGTAGCACGAAGCTACTAGGCGGAGGCCATCGCTATTAGGTTGGAGGCCACTACTACTAGTAGCAAGAAGCTACCAGGCGGAGGCCATCGCTATTAGG